AGTGCCAAGCCTGCCACGCTTTGCGAGCCCGAAACGGATGGGGAGACCACCCCCAGCGCACCCCCTTGTGGTGTCGAGGAAGTGCCACGCCTGCCACGCTGTGCGAGGCCGCAACGGATAGGGAGACCACCCCCAGTGCACCCCCTGTGGTTTCGAGGAAGTGCCACGCCTCCCACGCTTTGCGAGGCCGCAACGGATAGGGAGACCACCCCCAGCGCACCCCGTGTGGTGTCGAGGAAGTGCCACGCCTGCCACACTTTGCGAATCCGAAACGGATAGGGAGACCACCCCCAGCGCACCCCCTGTGGTGTCGAGGAAGTGCCACGCCTGCCACGCTTTGCGAGGCCGCAACGGATAGGGAGACCACCCCCAGCGCACCCCCTGTGGTGTCGAGGAAGTGCCACGCCTGCCACGCTTTGCGAGGCCGCAACGGATAGGGAGACCACCCCCAGCGCACCCCCTGTGGTGTCGAGGAAGTGCCACGCCTGCCACGCTTGCGAGGCCGCAACGGATAGGGAGACCACCCCCAGCGCACCCCCTGTGGTGTCGAGGAAGTGCCACGCCTGCCACGCTTTGCGAGGCCGCAACGGATGGGGAGACCACCCCCAGCGCACCCCCCTGTGGTGTCGAGGAAGTGCCACGAGGAAGTGCCACGCCTGCCACGCTGTGCGAGCCCGCAACGGATAGGGAGACCACCCCCAGCGCACCCCCGTGTCGAGGAAGTGCCACGCCTGCCACGCGAGCAACGGATAGGGAGACCACCCCCAGCGCACCCCCTGTGGTGTCGAGGAAGTGCCACGCCTGCCACGCTTTGCGAGGCCGCAACGGATAGGGAGACCACCCCCAGCGCACCCCCTGTGGTGTCGAGGAAGTGCCACGCCTGCCACGCTTTGCGAGGCCGCAACGGATAGGGAGACCACCCCCAGCGCACCCCCTGTGGTGTCGAGGAAGTGCCACGCCTGCCACGCTTTGCGAGGCCGCAACGGATAGGGAGACCACCCCCAGCGCACCCCGTGTGGTGTCGAGGAAGTGCCACGCCTGCCACGCTTTGCGAGGCCGCAAGGGATAGGGAGACCACCCCCAGCGCACCCCCTGTGGTGTCGAGGAAGTGCCACGCCTGCCACGCTTTGCGAGGCCGCAACGGATAGGGAGACCCACCCCAGCGCACCCCCTTGTGGTGTCGAGGAAGTGCCACGCCTGCCACGCTGTGCGAGGCCGCAACGGATAGGGAGACCACCCCCAGCGCACCCCCTGTGATGTCGAGGAAGAGGGAGGTGAGGTGAAGGTGAACGCGGGTGCGGCGCGGCAGGGAAGAACACCAGAAGCAGTGCTGTGCTGTGCTGTGTGCTGCTGTGCGGTGAGCTGTGCTGTGCTGTGCTGTGCTGTGCTGCGGTGAGCTGTGCTGTGCTGTGCTGTGCTGAGCTGAGCTGAGCTGAGCTGCGCTAAACTGTGCCGTGCTGAGCTGAGCTGAGCTGAGCTGAGCTGAGCTGTGCTGAGCAGTGCTGTGAGGAGGAGGGGAAGAGTGAGGTGTGTGAGAGAGAGACGGAGAGGGAGGTGTGCGGGTGAGACGCGGGTGCGGCGCGGCAGGGAAGAAAACCAGAACCCCACGAAGCATGTGGGGAAAAAAATAAATAGGAATATCCTCCTGGGGTGTCCTGGGAGCCTCCTGGGAACTTTTTGGGGCCTCTTGCGAGCCTCTTGGGAGCTGCTGGTTGGAATTATGTTGGGCCATCTGGAGGCCATCTTGGGAGCGTCGGAGCGAAATTTCGGTGACTGTAGCCCTCTTGGAGACCTCTCGCGGCCCTTTTCATCTATGTTGGCGCTGTCTTGGGCTGTCTGGGGGCGTCCCTGGGCCGTCTCGGCGCCCTCCTGGGGGCCTGTCGTGACGATGGTGTCTGAGACCGTCTTGGAGCGTCGGGACGCTGAACAGGCAGAAACGCTGAAATTCATCAAAAACCTAAAGAAAATTAGTGACTTGGGCTTCTTGGGGCCCTTGGACGAGTGCTCTTGGAGACCTCTTGGGCCGTGTTGGAAGCCTTTTGGGCCATCTGGAGGTCATCTTGGGCGTGTTCGAGCGATATGTCTGCGTTTCGAACCCTCTTGGAGGCCTATTGCGGTCCTTTTCATCGGTATTGGGGCTGTCTTGGGCCGTCTGGGGGCGTCCCTGGGCCGTCTTGGTGCCCCAGTGGGAACCTGTTTGGACGAGATTTGGGTGTCCTGGACCGTCTTGGAGCGTCGGGAAGCTGAACGCAGAAACGCGAACTTGCACCAAGAACCACAGGAAAATCAATGATTTGGGCTTTGGGGCCCTTTTGGGAGAGCTCATGGAAAGCCCTCGGGCCGTGTTGGACGCCTTCTGGGCCATCTGGAGGCCATCTCGGGCGTGTTAGAACGATAGTTTCGCGACTGTTGCCCTCTCGGATGTCTTTTAGGGCTCTTTTCATGTGTTTGGGGGCTGTCCTGGACCGTCTAGGGGCGTCCCTGACGGCCCGGTCTCCCATGCGCAGTGAGGGGCCCCCTCCCAGCCCCTCCGCCTCGTGCCCAGGGGTATACATGCATATCTACATACATACATCCATTCATTCATACATACACACATGCATGCATACATGCATACTTGTATGCATACTCACATGCATGCATGCATTCATGGATACGTACATACACACACATACGCACATGCATGTATGCATACATGCATACGTACATACATGCATTCCAAAATATAACATGTCGATGCACATACATACACATAGATGTATGGATGTATGCATATTCATGTATACCTACATATAAATAAGCGTATACATATACATATACTATCATGTATGCATATATATGTGTGTATGTGAATGCTCATGTGCATATACATATACACAATCATAAACACATATATGTATATGTACACAATAACATAATCATACACACATACAGACACATACACATACACATGTACAGTTATATTTGTGTATATATGTATAATGTATATACATAGCAATATATACATGTATATATATATACGCATATACAAATGCATATGCATAAACATATACATGAACATGTACACGTAAATCTACCTACATACCTACATAGCTAGACGTATCAGGTGTGTTGATATCTCTCTCTATATATATATATGTATCGCTCTCTCCATATCTCTCTCTCTCTCTCTCTCGGTTTATGTAGTTCTCTATGTCTCTCCCTCTCTATACATATCTCTCATATCCACACGTTCAAGCTTACCGTTCGAACTTCAAAAAGACCGATATACATATATACACACCTACATACAGACATACAAACGTACATGATGTACATACACATAGATGTAAGTGTACGTGTTTCGCTTCTCCCTTTCCCTCTGCCTCTCTCTCTCTCTCTCTATCTGTCTCTCTCCTTTTCTCTCTATGTAAGGATACGTGTCTATGCATACATACATGCATGTATTAATGCGTATCCATCTCTGTCCCTCCCTCTTTGTCTCTCTCTTTCTCTCTCTCTCTCTCTCTCTCTCTCTCTCTCTCTCTCTCCATGTACCAACATCTCTCTCGCGCGGACGCCCGTTCCTCTAGAGCCCTCCCGTGCGACTCATTATCATCATCCTCCTCGTCCTCATCGTCCTCATCATCATCATCATCATCATCATCGTCATCATCATCATCATCATCATCATCATCCTCATCATCATCTACCCGACGAAGAACTCGTCTACGGAATTGGCATATTTTGCCGCCACCAAGAAAAGACGTGTGCCCTGGAGAAGTCGGTCCCTGGATGAAATCCGAAGGCCGTTCAGGCCTGTTGTTCACTTTCTTCAGAGGGGGGCCACTTGAGAGAGCAACGGTGACACAAGGGCCACTTGCGACATCGGCGGTGAGACGACCCGCGCGGACTTCCGAGATGTATGTTTATGTTTTTTGATATTGTCATCATTGTCATCATCAGAATCAGAATCATCATCATCATCATGATCATGATCATCATCATCATCATCATCATCACCATCATCATCATCATCATCATCATCATCACCATCATCCTGCTCCAGCTCCTCCTCCTCCTCCTCCTCTTCCTCCTCCTCCTCCTCGTCATCATCACCATCCGTCGTCGTCGTTGCCGTCCTCGTCGTCGTCGTCGCCATCGCCATCATCCCAAGCCCTCATGTCCTCCTCGGATTCCCCATAATCATCATGAACTATGATCACTGGGCCAGGGCCTCGATGAGGCCGACCTCCCTGCGGCGCGAGCCTTGGGCGAGAGCCTCCCTGCCAAAGACTCCGGGGCCCCAAGGCTTCGGCCTGGGTGGCGGGCGACAGCGCATCGGGCTCCGGGGCAGGCGTGGGCTCAACGACGCCCAGGCTGGCTCTTGGCCGCCGCCTCACCTCGCCTCACCTCCTCGGGCCTGGTGAGGGGCGCCCCGGAGGCCCTCCTCGTCTTCGCTCCTCTCCTTCCTCCTCCTGTCCTTCTCGTCCTCCTCCTCCTCGCGCCTCCTCCTCCTCCTCCTCCTCCTCCTCCTCCTCCTCCTCCTCCTCCTCCCTCCTCCTCCTCCTCCTCCTCCTCCCTCCCTCCTCCTCCTCCCTCCTCCTCCTCCTCCTCCTCCTCCTCCTCCTCCCTCCTCCTCCTCCTCCTCCTCCTCCTCCTCTCCTCCCCTCCTCCTCCTCTCCTCCTCTCCTCCTCCTCCTCCTCCTCCTCCTCCTCCTCCTCCTCCTCCTCCTCCTATCTGGGCCGGCCCGGAAGAACTGGGGCAGCCTCTGGCCCGGGACGCCTCCGGCGACACCAGGAACGCGTGGCTGGCGGGCGTGCGTCAGCCTGTTGATTCTTCACTGACCTTACCTCTTGTAAGGTCGGAGCTAGCACAAGAGCGAGGCGAAAAGCGCACGCCCGAGGAAAGCAGCCCAACCAAAACGGGACTACCTACGACACTGCTGGGATACACGCGGGGGTCCACGCGGCGTCGCGCTCGGATATGGCAGTCTTGGGCCTCTGGCTCGCCAAATCACTCACGACGCAACGTTGAGGTCCTTGTCTTGCTTGTGGGCGATTGGTGAATCGCCCATAGCGTGCACAAGCTCGGCAGACCCGTGGACGATACGCACAAACCTCCACAAGCGAGCTGATACCATAATTCCCAAGCTGACATGGAGATTCCCTGTGAGAGCGAAGATCTCGAGACTCAACGCAACGATGACGACAAACAGATCGAAAGGGTGGTGCCAATTCGAGAAGTATTGCCGCTGTAGCACGAACATGTGCAAGAGGTGCTCCGCCAAGAAGACCGCCAATATCGTCATCGACAGCAATATGCAAACAATCTCTGCGTCATGAAAATAATGGTCGCCATATTCGTCTGGTATGACGCAGCCACCAACTCCGCCAGCGGCGCATGCTACAGCGACCTTCTCAGCATCCTCGTACTTGCTCTCAACATAATGGACCTCAAGTACACTACCAAGAACCACGAGGAACACATCGATCACAAGTAACACCAGGAGCACAGCGTGCAACCTCCGGTCTTCAAGGAGCTTGTGCAATCGTGCTCGGGTGCTTCCCCTGGACTCGAACGAGGCCATGCCCACCCCTCCGCCTTTCAAGCAGTGCAGAGCGCCATGCGTCTCGAGAACGAAATAATAGTACAGAACCGCGACGTGTGATCCCACGAGCCGTTCAGGGCGTGAGTGGTTTAGACAATTGTTATATTACATCCCCCATCATTTTCCCGTACTTATATCTACGCATACACATAGTACACAAAACAAAACAAAAATGATCCCCTCCCACCATCCCGATCAAAAAAAAACGAAGTCCACTTTGGGGTAAAATCTTAGGTCATGATCGGGGGGCGCGGGCACTTTGTATTGTTTGACAGGGACGGCGGAGGTGCCTTGCCTGCTGTGCAGGTCCAGGATCCCGATCGACAAAAAATGCAAGATGCATGTCGAGACTAAGCCTGCATCATGCGCGGACACACCGCAAACACTGTGCATTCGTTTTTTCCCACATGTTTCGTGGGGTTCTGGTGTTCTTCCCTGCCGCGGCGCACCCGCGTCTCCTCACCTCCCCTCCTCCCTCTTCTTCCTCTCCTCACCCGCGCTCAACACATGCACGGCAAGTCCGCGTCTCACACCTCCCTTTCAGTCTCTCTCTCTCTCTCTCTCTCTTTCTCTCTTTCTCTTTCTCTATCTCTCTCTCTCTCTCTCTCTATCTCTCTCTCTCTCTCTCTCTCTCTTTCACACACCTCACTCTTCCCCTCCTCCTCACAACACTGCTCAGCACAGCTCAGCCCAGCTCAGCTCAACTCAGCACAGCACAGCACAGCACAGCAGCATGCGCTGCAGGCTCCCAGGGCGTGGCAGGCGTGGCATTTCCTCGACGCCACAGGGGGTGCGCTGGGGGTGAGGGCCCTATGCGCTGCAGGCTCCCAGGGCGTGGCAGGCGTGGCATTTCCTCGACGCCACAGGGGGTGCGCTGGGGGTGAGGGCCCTTTGAGGAGGAGGACGGGGAGGTGGGGCAGCAGCAGCGGCAGCAGCAGCAGCAGCAGCTGCAGCAGCAGACGCAGCAGACGCAGCAGCAGCAGAAGCAGCAGGAGGAGGAGGACACCGAGGAGGAGAAGGAGGAGCAGCAGCAGAAGCACCGATGGTACACATGGGAAATAAAATAGGTATGTGGGGTTCCTCGGTAGCGTAATTGACTGGGACGACGGGGGTGGTGGCATATGGCCTGCTGTGCGCAGGCCCACCTGACACTATGATGGCCACCCCGCCGCGATTGCGCACTGGCTTTCGACAAGGGTGGTGGGGGCCGACACGTCTCTGAATGTGCAGTGCCACGTGCGCAGGCGCACCTGGCACACTCTACGCGGGTCCCGAACGTGGCGCACACGGCGCGATTGGAGCGCGCGGCACACACGGCGCACGTGGATCACGGGGCGCACCAGGCGTGCCTGGCACGTTTGGGCCGAAGGGGGGCCTGGCGCACCTGGCGCGCGTGGCGCACCTAGCACGCGTGGCGCACCTCACCACAGCGTTTCGCACATGGGGTCCGTTTTGGTTCCCATTCACTGCCCATCCAAAGACGACCGCTGAACATTTTGCGGTTCGGGTGCCACTTATGTGTTGGGAGGGCGGGTGGGAGTGAGCGAGACGGCTTGCGGGCCGGGAGGGCGTCCGAATCACCGCCCCCCATCAAGAAACACCCCGTCCCCAAGGCGACCGGCAGCCAACCAGATTAATGAGCGCCCCCCCCACCATCCCTGTCAAAAAACCTGTGCAGTTCACTGTGGGTAAACGTCTTGGGTCATGGTCAGGGGGCCGCGCGCACTTTGCACTGTGTTTTCCAAACCATCCTGTGGTGCTGGGTCCACGCTTTGAAAAGACAGCGCCTCGCGTCTCCTCTTATCCTCTCCTGCTTCATTATCCCCCTCCTCCCTCACTTTGGCACACCCCTCACACGCTTCGTGGCCCCATAGGGAACTCCAACCGAAGGCCCCAGTGGCTGCTCTCGCATGCGGGACCCCACGCTGCACAGCACTGCGTGGCCCCATAGGGGGCTCCACCGAAGGCCCCGATGGCTGCTTTCGCACTCATGACCCCCGCGCGGCTGCGCTCGCATGCGGGACCCCCTCGTTGTAAAGTGCTTCGTGGCTTCACAGGGAGCTCCACCGAAGGCCCGAAGGCCCCAGTGGCTACTCTCGCACGCGGGACCCCCACCCAGCACAGCGCTTCGTAGCTCCACAGGGAGCATCACCGAAGGCCCAAGTGGCTGCACTCGCACGCGGAAACCCCACCCAGTACAGCGCTTCATGGCCCTATAGGGAGCACCACCTGCGGCTCCCCCACCCAGTACTACGCTTTCTGGCCGGTAGCTCCACCGAAAGCCCTAAGAGCAGTGTTCGCCTGCGTCTCCCCCACCCAGGACAACGCCTCGTGGTCCCATAGGGAGCTCCACCGAAGGTCCCAGGGGCTGCGCTCGCATGCAATTCTCCCACACAGCACAGCGCTGCGTGGCCCCATGGGGAGCTATACCGAAGGGCCCAGTGGCTGCGTGCGCATGCGCTTCCCCCACCCAGTACAGCGCTTCGTGTCCCCATAGGGAGCTCCACCGAAGGTCCCAGTGGCGGTGTCCGCATGCGGTTCCCCTACCCAGCAAAGCGCTTCGTGGCCCCATGAGGAGCTCCACCGAAAGCCCCAGCGGCTGCACTCGCATGCGTTTCCCCTGCAAGTACAACGCTTCGTGGCCCCATAGGGAGGCCCCAATTGCGGTGTCAGCATGCATCTCCCCCTGCTAGTACAGCACTTCTTGGCCCCATGGGGAGTTCCGACGAAGGCCACAGCGGCCCCGCCCCACTGCGGCGCATCCCTCACATGCTTCGCGGCCTCATCGTGAGTTCCGCGTCAAGCCCCAGTGGCAGCGCCCACATCGCGGCCCCGCCCCACATCGGCACACCCATTGCATGTTTCATCGCCGCATGAGGAGATCCCCCGAAGGCGATACCTGCGACGACGGAACTCAAACCTGCATATGGTCGGGCCCTACGCCAAGGTAATTTGACAGGGGCGGCGGGGGTGCCAGCATATTTCGTACTGCGCGCAGGTCCGGCATCCCTTGCAAAAACCCATACACAACGCACGTCGGGGACGGCGGGAGCGCCTCTGGGGCCGCTGACAATTCCCGCAACCCGCGGCCCTTCTCCTCGCTCGTCAGAGGCACATACTTCGGCTGGAGCACGGGCACGCGCGCCTTGCGAGCGGGAGCGATCGGGGGGGGCGGCGCGGGCGGAGCGCCGCCGGCCAGCCGCTCGCGCTCCCGCGCCTCGCGCACCGCCGCGCCATACCGTCCCCCGCACTCGCGCGTGAGTGAACTGTGGTGCTTGTCGGAGCCCCATAGCCCAAAGGGTCGCTTCTCGGGATTACCGTAGATCCCACAGAACTCTCCGTCGCCATTACACGCACTTTTCCGGCACTGCCCGAGCACGGCCACGCCCCAGTCCCGGCGCCAAACTCGCGCGACGCACCTGCCCGCGACGCACTGCGCGGGGTCCGGCAGCCAGGCTGGCACAGCGCCCTCCTCGCTCACGTGGACGTCATCCCGAGCCACGTTCACCTCCACGTCCCCTGCCTTCACTGTCTTCCCCGCGAGACGCTCCGCCTCTTCCTTCCGCCGCCGCTCCTCTTCCAACCGCCCCTGGTCCTTTCTCGTCGCCCCGCGAGTCTGCGGGCGTCTCGCCTCGGGAGCTGGTCTCTTCTTGGGCCCGCCGCCGAGCGGCCGGCCGCCGCCCCCGCCCGCGCCCCCGCCGCCGTCGCCACCCGCGCCACCGTCGCCCGGCCCCTGCGAACCAGAGCCCGACCCCGACGCTGGCCCACCGCCCGCCCCGCTGCCCGAAGAAGTCCCGCCGCCGCCGCCGCCGCCACCTGGCGAGTCGTCGCCACCGCCACCCCCTCCCGCCACGTCGCCCCCGTACTCTGCCAGCCGCAGCCAACCTACATTTCCGATTCAACCACACGCCCAGGAATTCCTGAAAGCACTCCTTGGCCACCCTTTTCACCCTCTCCGCCAGGTTCGCCTCCTGCAACTCGGGCTGCCCGCGCCGACTGGCGAACGCGTCCGGCCAGACACAACCGTGACGATCACGGAACTCGTCGAGATCCCGCAGAACATCTCCGCGTTCATCTGCGGCCGCGGCGTCGTTCTCGAGCGCGGCGATCATGAGCGGCTGGTCCACGTCCCGACCCCCCGCGGCGCGGTCCCATGTCAAGCCCACCCTCGCCCGCCCCTCGCGCGCGCGGGTCGCCACTCGCCGCGCCGCCTGAGGCTTCAGCTTGACGAGCTGCAACCAGACGGGCCACTCGGAGATCGCCTGCGGCTCCAGGTCCGCCAAGTACACCGGCGGGACAGCAAAGGAGGACCCCCCCGCGCCATCCGCGGCCTCCGCCCTGCACACGACGTCGCGGTCGCCCTCGAGCTGCTGCAGATCCGCGGCCAGGGCGTCGCCCATGCGAGCGACGCCGCCGCGCGCGCGGCACCAGGTCCGCAACAGCCAGAGCTCCGCGGAAACGTCGCCAGGCTCGCCCGTGAAGTAGCCGCGCCGCCCCTGGGAAAACCTGTCGAAGCCCGACTCCACAGCCTCGGAAAAGAACGCGCCGCCGTGGCCAGCCAACGATTTCGGGATACCGAGGACGCGCGGCCACGGCGCCAGCCTGCCCCCGTCTGGCCCCGCGCGCTGGTACCAGGGCTCCAGAGCGCGACGCTGGTCGGGCTCCACGTGCACTTCGCAGCTGTCCTGGTGGAAACGCCCGCGCCCCAGCAAACAACGACGGAACTCGTGGAATGCGCCACCCCCCCCCCCTCGCCGCGCACTGGGCCGCCAGCTTGCGCTGCCTGGCGCGGTCGCGCTCCGCTTCCACCGCTTCGCGCTCGAGCGCCAGGCTGGGCAGCTTCTTCGGCGCGAACTGCAGCCTCCGACACCAACAATGACATCCCAGTCGGGCAGCACATCGCCTCCGCCCCGCACGCGCACGAAATCCCCCCGGCACACGTAACAAAGGAAATCGGAGACCAGGCGCAGCAGCACGCC